GCACTAAGTTATTAACATAGGTTATTAACTGCCAATTGCTACTTTGAACAAAACTACCAGAAATTAATTAGCCTTTACCTACAACCAAATTATTTTTCTACCCGCCGACTGTTTCCACATAAAGTTCTCTTGAAAGATTAGAAGATGATATTTATTAAATAAACAAATATATATCCGAAACTATTTACATACCTTTTCTGTTCGTTCAATGCTTCTTCCAGTAACATTAATCGCCATATTAAAAAACACAAAAAACCAGAATAAAATCTTAAAAGCGCGAATTAATAATAAATTTCATTGGTTATTTTTTTTGTAAATCATAACCAATTTAATATTTTTGAGGCCAATTTGGGAAATTGTCGATGGGAAAAAATAAATGACATTACCTCTCATTTTCAATGACGAATTATTGTCAGAATGTGTAGCTTCTCATTGTATTTAAGCTGGTATATGACAACTTTTTAAAGATTTTTGAGAGAGAAAAAAGTGTAAATAAAAAACCTTTATTAAGAATTATAAATTAAATAGCAATTTTAAATTATCTAATTCTACGATCCAAGCTCTTGATATTCATTGGAGACTAGTATTTGTTTAAAAATTTTTTCTTTTGTTTCAAAAAAGAAATTAAATTAAGAAAATAAATTATTATTAAGACTATGACATTCAAATTTATCTAATAGCTTTCTTTTTATTATAACTAAGAAGCCAACAGCTACTAAGTTAAATATTAATAATGCTATCGCAGTCTCTTTTGAGACTGTTGCTGCCGTTGTTAAAAGCTGAACAGCTATAAAAAGCATATTGTTGTTCGAATTATCGCCATTTGTATTCTGGTGAGATATATTGTTGTTGTCAAATTATCGCCGTTTGTATTCCGGCGAGACATATTGTTGTTGTTGTTGTTATCGTATAAAATATCTATCAGAATGCTTGAACGAAAATGATCATGATGAGCATGAGCTTCGCTAGGAACACTAGGTGCATCTGGCGAAGGAACATCATCACCTTGACTATTTTGAAAATTCATTGTATTTTTTATTAATTTACTAATAAACGTGTGATGAAAGAAATAACTATCAAGATGAAAAACGAGGAAAAATGTTAATCAAAAAACAAGAAAGAAAAGAAATAATTTAAAACAATTTTAATCAAGTACATGCTCGGTGTATTTATAAATATAAGTAGAACAACAAATCTAATGTGCTTTATGGATGGTACACAGAATACTGAAAGGGAAAATTTACTTGATATTAAAAAAAAATAAAAGATCAAACAATTCTTTTTTTGTGTAACACGTGTATTTTCATTGTTTTACAATTAATAAAATTTATATGACATTACCTCATCGTAAAAAAAAAAAAAAAAGAAATAAAAACAAAAAAAACCAGAATTATATTCAGAAGATAATCTGCTGTAATTCTAATATACATTTTGAAATGTTATTGCATGGCGAATTTCTAAGGAATCAATAATAAGACCCATCACAATATAACAAATGTTGATGGTGATTTTTCATCAATGGTGTTTGTTACCTTCAAAAATCTCTCTGTATTGATAAACTAGATATATTATACTATTCCATACTCAAAGTTGGAAATGATATCTCTCCTTTTCACTGACTAGTAGCATTTTGAAAAATGTGTTTTTATTATATCCATTACACTATTGGCAATTTTTGATGGTGATGTTTTCATCAATGGTGTTTGTTACCTTCAAAAATCTCTCTGTACTGATAAACTAGATATATTATATTATTTTATACTCAAAGTTAGAAATGATATCTCTTTTCACTGACTAGTAGCATTTTGAAAAATGTGTTTTTATTATATCCGTTACACTATTGGCAATTTTTGATGGTGACGTTTTCATCAATGGTGTTTGTTACCTTCAAAATCTCTCGTACCGATAAACTAGATATATTATACTATTCCATACTCAAAGTTGGAAATAATGTCCCTCTTTTTCACTGACTAGTAGCATTTTGAAAATATGATTTTATTTATTATTTTCTTTGCGTTGTCGATCATTAAAAAAAAAATCATAAACACTATATGAGATTACTTAATTTTGATTTATTTATACTGTAACATCCCCCCAGACACTTATGGTAGGTGAGTGTATATACATGTACAATTTTATATTGCGAAATTGCGAGAAATCACGTGTGACATGATTATTATATTTGTATGTTTATTTGCTTATCATTAATTATCTTTTAAACCTAGTCAATGCAGAATTCGAAACACAACATCAAACAAATTTACATTATTGGTTGAATGGAGTTTATGAATACACCAAAAAAACAACCCTTCGTACTATTCAATGTAACCTCAAAAACTCAGAGAAATGGGTACTATTGAACATAAAGATGCAATGGGTCATCCATAAACATTAACACGTTCAAATGGGAAATTGACGAATCCTGAGTTATAAGATGCCAACTTGCAATTAAATTCAAGAGACACATTAATTTTATAAAAAGGAATTTGCAGTTTCACGAAGTTGGTTGCGTTGTGATAAATACTCTCTATTGATCATATCGAGAAGGGAAGAGAGAAGTCAACATGGCATGTTGATGTTGATGTTGATGTTGATGTTGATGTTGAGGAGATGTTGAAAATAAACTTTTGTTAAACTTAATTTTTGGAAATTCTTTTGTGACTTGCAGATCAATGAGCGTACAATGAACCCTCCATAAATGCATGCTATGTCTCATTCCCAACCTCGGGAATTAGAGATAAATGCACACCCTCCATATTCTGCACTGCACGGTCTTCCCCCATCCCCGTTCATATAAAACCACCCTCTCTAAATACACTCCCGTGACTTTTACGTGATTTATTTGCTAAATAAATTCGTGTTAAACGTTATTTATATCTATTTATTATTTTTGTTACCTCTTTTTTAATATTAGTAATGGAAAATAAAGGATGAAGTAAGCTACTATTGCTTATAAAGGATTAAATGAATGTTTGCTGCTTCTTTTTTTTTAATTGACAAAGAGTTATTAGAATAATAATGATAAATACACAAATGGAGAAAATTATATATACGCGAAATTAAAAAAAACAAAGGGTAAAAGATCACAAATTTTTTTTTGAAATTTTATGTTTAATAAAAGTAACAAAATAAAATAAGAAAATTCTAAAAACAATTAAGACAAGTTAATGTCCTTGAGCAGTTTATTAATTTTTTTAAAAAAAAAATTCAATGAAGCAAACCACAATGGAACAATTTTTTAGTCAACAATAATATTAATATGTAATAATAATAGTAATTAAAAAAATATCTACAATAATAATAATAATTTTTATTAGTATTACGTGCAACCAATAAAATCCTTCCCCTCCATAAACGCATGCTCTCATCCATTCCCAAGGGGGTGCACTTATGGAGGGTTCACTGTATTTTATTTTCTTTCCAATGCCGTAAAAACCTTTCTACTTTCAATGACACCTGATAGCCTTCCGTTTTTTCTCTTTTAATTTGTGTCTGATGGATTTAATAATTACTTACAAGAATAAGAAAAAATCTATGTATATTTTTTTTTTTTTATCATAATGCATTATTATCTATTATACCGAGATAAAATCGTTATATCTAAGAACTATTGCCTTTTGATCAATTAATGAAGGAGATCTTAGTAGACAATTACTTTTTCTTACAAACAATAAACCATTACTTTTTCAATTAATAAAACCATTACTTTTCCTTTCTAAAACTTGTTTATATACATTAACCTTCAGAACCTAAGCTACAAGCTTGTAATTTTTTGTGTTTTTGTGTAATTTATATAAATGGGATGTCCAAAATTTTTTTTTAGCAGGAATTGCGTTTTGATAATTATAACTCGGATCACCATGCTCGCCATTCATGCCCGACTTGTCAAGTTTACCTGTGTATAATAATTTAGATTGTTCAATTTGGATTATCTGGTTAAATCTGACGGCTAGATGATGAGATAAGTTAGAGGCAGTACTTTTTATATGTTCTACATATATAATTATCCTAAAAGCACATGGGAAAAGGGATATAAACGAGGCATGACCGTAAATAATATTATCGTTCCATTGCATTTGATTTTATTTCTCTTAGTTTTCTCACGGGTTTATATATTTTTAATTGCTCCACTAATTTGATTAAAATGATTGCAATTAACGATATTCTTGGGAATACAAAAAGATCAACAGAAAGTTTTCGTAGTTAGCCTATAGAAATTACTTGGAGGCTAAGCCGGATTATAATTGAGGTAACATCTGGATTTTTGGCTGAAAATTTGGGTAAAGACTTTTTTAATAAGTGGTGTGACTGTCCTGGGCATAGCAGAAAATCTTTGTTATAAGCCATACATATTCAAAATCAGGTATATAGAAAGCAATTTTTGTGTCATATGAAATTATAGGACCGGTAGAAATTCCTTAGCACTAAAATATACAATGAAATACATCATACTGTGTTTGATATTTCCTATTTATCATATGTGCTACCTACCGTTAAGGGAATAGTTGATTTGATTTCATACTGTGTTTGCAATGTTATTGTGTATGATATTTCTTCATTAGCAAAAAACCGGATTATTTTGATAAAAATAGTTCGAGTTTAGGAAAAACATGATCATTTGTGATGGGCGTGGGTGGATAAAACACTGCAAAAAAGAAATTATTTATTATATATATAATGTGAATTAGTTAAAATTTTGGGGTAGGGTGTTTGAATACGAAATTCTGATTGGCTAATTTGAATTTCACATATGCACAACAATGCCAAGAATGGCTTCGGGGCTTTGAATTTTTGTAAAAAAATTATTTTTAGAATAGAATGACATTAACGATTATGGAATTTATTGTATATCCGTAACAATTAAAAATTAATTAATTTTCAATTACACAGCCATCAATTCAACAAAAGGATTCATCATACACACATCACACACATTTTTTTTCATTTCGTTTTCCGGTACTAATAATTAATTTTATTATTATTTTTACCGTAAAAAAAATATGTTAATTTCTACATGCAAAGACGAATTTACAAAAATCCAGAATGGAGTTATACTTGATTTATCGGTAAGTATACATTCTTGACAAGCAAATAAATGTTTTGCTAATTATTCTCCAATTCAATCAATTAATTAAAATCTTCTTTAGCCATTATGTACGAAGTTTTTTAACTCAAAATCAAAAAGCTTTGAAGACTACAATATCTATGACAATGATGATGATGATGATGAATTAGAATCTTTCGACCAAGAATTACATCGACGTTACAATCTTATGTATTTTATTCCTAGAGAAAACCTAAATAAACGACAAGTTGCTCGAGACGAATATATAGATGCAGAAGAGAATGAAGAAGATGGAAACGATGACAATGATCTGACACTTAAAAAACGAAGCATAGTTGAACCTTCGAAAAGAAAGCCAAAAGAACAATTAAATAATTCAACACCATCAGAAACATCATCGCCTTCACCTCTGCCAATAAAACCATCTGATGTGTCATCTGCGCCACCAATAAGTAGTAGTAGTTCAATTGAAGAACAATCTACAAGAACTTTTAATGGTGATGAAATTTTATCGACATCATCATCATCTTCATCACCATCACAGTTATCATCATCATCATCATCGCCAACGCCACCATTACAGTCGTCACAGCCATCACCGACAACTGGCATAGTTAATTCTGAAGATAATAAATTAAACAAATCAGTTCCAGTAAAAGATGCTTTGTATTGGTGGAGGAACGATCCTCTTGTTAGTATCCATCATGAACATTGGCATATAGTTTTTGCTGCTGACGAAGTTGATGGTGTAAAAAAAGATAGGGAAGGGGAAAGTTTTATTTATATGCACAGATTCATGTTAGCAAGGTAATTAATTGGTAGCATTAATGAACATATTAAAAGGCGTTTATACTTATTTAATCGTAATTGTATTTGTATTTTTATTAGATATGATGCTGAACGTCTTGCAGCCGGAGTAGGAAAAGTTACACCTTTGAAAAATTATCGAGATCCAATACCTGAAGCCTTTTATCCTCCTTCTCAATTGTACGAACCTGTTGACGAGAATGGATCGCATGTTCACTTTCCATCTCGTCCTCCTGGTCAAAAATTCCATGACACAAGTAATCAATAATTTAATTTAATAATAATAATAACATTATGATTTTTATATAAAATAAACATTATCATTATTTTTTTAGAATTTGATGGAGATGGAAAGGAAAAATCGAATTTTGTTACAGTTAAGGATTTGGAAAATACTTTGTTAGAAGTGGAGAATTGGATCGATGGCAATAAAACTGAATCACACTCATTGAACTTGTTAAATGATTCTAATGGAAATGCTGATTTGGGTGCTGAAATTGAACAGACACTACATAATGTTGGGCATGCCATGCTTGCTTATATTATGACACCTAATGATCCTTTTGCTCCACCTGGTGTTTTGGTTGGTGCTCGTGCAGGATGTCGGGACCCTCTATTTTGGAGATGGCATCGTCACATTGACAACATTTATGTTAGATGGCAAACTCGATTAGGATTAAATATGTTCAGTAATGATATTCCGCCAGTGAAAATAAAAAATAGTGATATTTTCCTTGGATTTAAAGATGAGTTATTTAATCTTGATCAAAATGGTGATCATGATGGATGGCTTAATTATGCCAAGAATACAATTGGCGGTGTAAACTTTGATGAACCACTGGTAAATGTTACCGGATTCACCAATGAATTACAAACCACTATGAAAAAAAGAGTTCATATTTGGCGTGAAGATATTAATAATACAGAAATTGTTGAGTTTTTATATCCTAGAGAATTCTTTACTTTTTTCCGGATTGAAAATTTATCTTTTAAAGTAAGTATATAAATTATTAGTGATGATCAATGGGTATTATTATATTGAGTGTAATTTAATAGAACATTTTTCTCACTCACCTCATCACTCCAATATTGTTAATTAAGCCACTGCCGGTGACATTCAGAGTTTTTATTGTTCCTGAAGTATTTATGGACTCATATGTCCACTGGATAGAATTTGACAAATTCAAAAGAATATTGAAGCCATATGAGAAAACAATAATATCACAAGATAGTGATCAGGCAATTGGTATACGTAAGCCAGCACAAAAATCTGTTAAACAAATGGAATCCACCATGATCACGCCCACATACCAGGATGAAATAGACGCTATGGCAATAGATAAACAAGCTGAAACAATATTTTGTGGTTGTGGTTGGCCATACAATATGGTAATCCCAAGAGGAACAAAACAAGGTCTTCGATTTAAAATGATGGTATATGTATCGAATGGTAAGGATGACAGGGTCCCGGTTGCTCCAACATGTGGAAGTCAATTATTATGTGGTAGCAGGAAATGGAAAGACAAATATCCTGATAAACATCCTATGGGTTATCCATTTGATAGACCTTTTATAAACAATTCATTTTATCAAACATTTGCTCATTTACCGAATGTTGCTATACGTGATTTTGTTATTCGTTGGGTTGAGGATTTCCCTCTATTAGTTCCTTTGCATAATTAATTTTAGCGCACACATATATATATATAGTGTATGTATTATTTATTATTTTTATTTATGTAATATAGGCATGTTATTATTAATTTTGTAAATACAAGAACAATTAGATTATTTAATTTTCCTCAAAAATAAAACGCGTGCGTTAAAAGGTTTATCTCGATTATATTTCACCTCTTCCGCAAAGCCTACTAATACAAATAATGATTCGATTACAAGATCTATATCTTCTTACACAATATCGTGCACAAACATTACATCTGCTACTTCTACCTCGAAAACCAACACCGATACGAAGACGCCTACTAATTTGCTGACTTTCGATAATTTCACTATCAAGATCATCACTATTATAGTCTTCGCCAATCGATTCATTTGTAGCATTTTCTTCACCTCGCTTGTTGTATTTTTGTTGTTCTTCCACCTCTTCAAGACAAGAGGATGAATCTTCTTTATTGGTGGTGGTAACTGATAATGATAAAGGTAGCGATGATGGTGATGATGGTGAAGAGGGGATTGATGCATTTGTTAGATATAATGTTAACAAAAAAATAAAATTTAACCGTATGATAAACATTGTAATTTTAGAATAAATAATATAATTATTATTATTTATCATCCATCTTTATATGTTTTTGTTTGATGGAAGCTAAATTTTTAATCTATAAACATTTTATTAAGAAAACCTTAATTTGATTTACTTTTTTTAATCTTTGATTAAAAAAGTTTTTTTTATTTCTTTATAAATAAATATAACGATCTTTGAGTTAAATTTCACAAATTAAACAAATTATTTGCGCTACTGCCCCCGATTTTTTTATTGGTATTAAACAATATAATAAAAATGAATCTCACATTGTTAATTATTTCGTTTATAGGCAGGCACAGGGTACTGCATATAGCAGACAGACAGTTTCACCGAAATACGATCATGTTGTTAGTTGATAGTTGGAAATTTTCTAATGTTGGATCGGAACTATTCGCAAGAAATTTTTTTATTTTACCAAACTGTTAATACACGTGAGATACGGGTTGGGTGTTTGGATGCGAATTCCGATTGCCTAACTTAAATATGCCATTGTATCGTTTAAAAGATTGGTTGGATTTGAAAATGAGGAGCCTTATTTGTATGTTTAATAATTTTTCTTCCCCTTGTAAAGAGAAAACCATGCCCAACAGGCATTTTAGTAATGATTTGCATCAAGGAATAAAATTTGTTACTTCGAATGGATCAGGGAATGTTGAAGTGAAAAGGATATACTTGTAAAGTTTGAAAGGTTGTTATTTAGTGTACTTGCATCTGCTTCATAAGGGCGCTGACATATATTAGCTAATATCGTTCGCTTACCCCCAACCCATTTTGATCATGTGTATAACAATCATTTGCCTTCTTTAGATATCAACAAAATAACGAAAAAAAGAATTGATTTTAATATATAATGATCTCTTGAAAATTTCTGAATATGAATTGCATTAACATCCCTTGACCAAACACCCTATCTGGTTCTGAGTGTAATAACGCCTACTTATCCTGCTAAAGGAAAATATAAAGAACAAAACTCATAGATTTTTGATTATTTCTCTCTCAAAAAAAAAATATATAATAATAGATGTCCTATATAACAAAGAAAAGAAGCAAAATTGATTTGTTATTTATTTAAAAAGGATGGTGATGATGGTAGTATGTAACATGTAATCATTCTAGTTATTTTTAAAGAATGTTGACAGCTGTGACTTGTTGCAATTCATTGTCATTCATTCTAGTTCTAATTTTAAATAGCATGAATAAAATATTGTTACACGTTCTTTAGTAAGAATCTCAAAAAAAAAAAAAAAGAGTATGATGAAAATAAAGTAAATAAATCATATTCTTCTTCAATGAGCAAAAGTGACTATTTTAATGAATCTGAATTTTTGATATAAACCAATCCCTAGTTTATAGGAATTAAATTGTGAACAAAAAATAGTTTTTGACAAAAGGCCTTAATGTAGTTTTACTGGTGCTGGTGGTAATATTACCATTAATGATTGTTCAATATATATTTATATATTCTTTTTGTCATCAGTTATTGAATAATTTAAAAATTAAAGCTATTTGTAGACACTGGTAAAAGTTTTCAATTAAAAACAATAATCAACAAACTGAAAAATGTTGGGTGAAACAGAAGTTGGTGTTACTGCAATGGCTGGCATAACCATTACATGACCAACATTGATATAACTTTTATACTCATTTTTAAGTTTAGCAGCATCAAATTATTTTTTACCTATCTTATCAATGATGAGGTAAAATAGGATTATCCTATAGACAATTTATTAATTATAAACAAATATTAATTGTGTATTTTCAAGGTCAAATGTGACCCAGAAATTCTCTATATTAATATTAATATGTTTTAAAGGTCAGTTATCACATGTGACAAATTCAAATGTCCGCCATGCTATAATATTAGTATTTTTATCATATAGTCTAGAAGCCTAGTAGTAAATGTTGAAAGTGTCAATATTTATCAGATATTCTTTTAAAATTAATCTTTTTTATTAGTGAATTATTGCTTAATTTAATAAACCAATAATTCTTTTATATTATAATTAAATTATTGGTTAAATATTTCTAAAACTCTTTGTGCTAAAATAATATCATAAATCTTGAGCAGTAGTTAGGTTTCTATTCAAATAAGGTTTACTCGAATAAAACAAACAATTTGAGTAAAACGAATAAAACGAATAAAACGAATAAAACGAATAAAACGAATAAAACGAATAAAGCGAATAAAACGCATAAAGCGAATAAAACAAATAAAACAAATAAAACAAATAAAACTAATAAAACGAATAAAACGAATAAAACGAATAAAATGTATTATGAATAGAAACCATGCATCAATACTAAAATCAAAAAAACAACAATAAATAAACAAACAAATAGCTTTTATTGCGAAACATTAATTTTGTTCCTTTAGTGTTAATGATCGAATTGATCACACAAGCAGTAGTCAATTTAAACAGCATTGTTTTTAAAGAATTTATTCAAAATATTTATTGTATAAGTTTAATTTTGCAAAAAATTTTTTGATACATCAATCTCAGTCCATATTTATATACTTTAAAGTTTCTTTATTTCTTTTTTTGATAAATAATAAATTTATCCTTTTGTTTATTTGTTTTAGTAGTAGATTCAAATAGATTTTATTAGATCAAATGGTACACTACAGAGAATCAATAATGCAAAAACACACATAATAAGCATATATAGCTTGTAGCCTAGGTCCTGTAGAATATGCATGCAAAATTTCTACATCAGGAAATCTTTTAGGGGATAATAATAAATATCGAGATACATCATTTATCTCAATAAAAAATCGAAAATTAACGAAATAAGATAATTTTCGATATTATCTTACGATATGTAACGATATTTAGCATCATCGAAATTAATTACCAAGATAACCAACGATGAAGATAATATATGAAATTAATCAAGATAATTAATGATAGAGATTATATACGAAATTAATCACTGACAGTGGTGAATATTAACGGGCAATTGGTTGGTCCATGGTTTACAACCTCACAATCTTCACCTTTTTTAAATGGGTCATCATATATACAGAACCTATGTGGCAAATATTTAGAGTTGGTAAGAATTCCATAAAAACAATCGAATAATAATTATGTTCCTCCTAAACGATCCATCGGGCATCCCTAGTATTTCTAATGATACTTATCAAAACTTTGCCAAAGATAATAAGGCAAATTAAATTTATCTGATGGCTAGAACATATAATTTCTACGATTTTTTATTAGATTTAAACTGTTCAGGCCAATTGCTATTATTATTGTTATTGAGTTTAATTTGGAAATAGTTTTATTTTATTTTTATTATTTATTCAAAATTACTATTAACACTTTCTAATCATCGTCCTCGTCACCTCTATTTCTACATTCTCTAATACATCTAAATATGCGATTACAACTTCTATATCTATTTGTACATCGTCGTACACAACGTACACAACCACGATTGCCACGACCTCCACTTCCTCCACGACCTCCACGACCTCCACGACCTCCACGACCTCCTCCACCACCTCCACGACCGCCTTGTTGATCTTTAACATTTTCATCATCATGATCACTGCTGCTTGGTTCATCAGATGATGGTAATGAATCGATTGATTCATTTTCAGCATTTTGTGCAATACAACTGCCAAAGGTGTCAGAAAGACAAGATCCATGATTTTTTTCGTCATCTTCTCCATGATTTTGTCCCTCTAGATCGTCATTAAGATAGGGTAAGTCTTCTTTTTCAGTGTTAGTGGTGGTAATTGATGATGAAGGAAGAGAAGCCAACGCATTTGTTAGACTTAGAGTTAACAAAATAACAAAAATTAATCGTATAATAAACATTTTGATTTAATAAATTTTTTTTGATGTTTTTTGATGGATAGAGAGGAATATTTTTTTGTTCTTTAAATAGATAAAAGTTTTCGTAACTTTGATGGAAAAATTAATTATTTGGAAAAAGTTAATCAAATGCTTATTTTTTTTTTTTTTTTTTTTTTTGATTAAGAAAATATTTGATTAACTTTTAATCCTTAATTAAATTTTATCAAAATAACCAATTACACAGAACTGGTTCGAATCATAATCAAGCACATAATAATAATAATAATAAAAGAATTTTTGATCGAAATTTATATTTCTTGCTCAAAAAAAAAAAAAAAAAAAATCACACATTATAATATTTGACATTATACATCTTGAATAAACATTATATCGTTTTGAAATTAAGCATAAATTTTTGAAAAATTAATTCGAAAAGTTTTATGCTCAAAGATGTCATTTTAATTGAAAGTCAACGTGGCGAATTATCAGTTTTATAAAAGCAATGCACCTACCTAGAATTTTGTCTCGTACTATTTTTATGAAACATAAAAAATTGAATTGGCCGTAAACAAAGAAAATCAAACACAGGAGGGTATAATTCAAAAAAGGACAGCTTTACACTGAAAACCTTTAAAAAATAGTAAATGTTTTCATGGCTCGTACAATTCGAATATTTGATTGTTCGTAAGGCTCAAACCCGAAAATTCAAGCTTTAGTATTAATATAGTATTAATGGATAACAAGCAAATTCAATAATCGCTGGCTTTTCTTCTTTAGTTTTAGATGGTAAGTTGATTTCTTTTTTAAATTCTTGCAATTTAATGCTTAACCGTTTCCCAGGAATTATTAATAAGAGCCATTCTAGTTATATAAAAAAGATGATATAAAAAATAAAATAAAGATATAATGATGAATTATCAAAAGCTATTTGGACGTGACAAAAAATTTACCAGAAATCTAGAATAAATCGATGAAATTTTTTAATTTTAATCTTGATCCAATTTACAATATTTTTCTTTTATATTATACTGTATATAAAATAATATTACTGTTACTAAAGAAATATTCAACTTAAAACTCCCTGTGAGCCAGATAACTTGTCTGGCTAATGCGGAGCTTTAATGAAAATTTAATAATTAATAACAAAATTTTTAAAAATTCGTTGAAACGCGAATTTAATTATAATTCACTGGGACGAAGTTCGTTAAAACGAGGGTTTGGCTGTACAAGCTTCTTATAAGAGTGGTGGTGGCGGTCATCGCCAGCCACTCGTCGTCAATCTAGTTAATTAATAATCATACCTATCATTATTCACGTTCTTTTTCTTCTTACAATGTGAACGGTCAAATTAAAGGGAAGGAAAGAAAGATCATAGACTTTTTCAAATATAATAATAACTCATCAGACATAAAACTATCGGATAATCAAAAAATAGTTTATGACTTAGTTGTTAATAAACGCGAGAGTGTCCATATATTATTATTATGGTGCCCTTTTTCCTATAAAAAAGGAAACGATGTAACGAAAATTTTTGCTATATATTACTTTTTTTTATATTAAAGTTTATAAAGATTTTTTCATTTTGATGGTTTTTAGAAACCTTTTAAACAATTTAATTGCGGGAGGTATCTGTAGAATATTAATATGTTTATTTTGCATAATTTTTTAATAGGTAAAAATATTACAATTACAAACTTTCAATCTAGAACAGTGCTACGGAGAGAGAATCTTTGTTTCGTACAATTTTTTCAGAAGTTGCAATAGATAGAAGTATTATGATAAAGAAATTTTCTGTATTTCAAATGAGTTTTTTACGCCATTTGTATTTTTACATACATTAAATCTTTCCATAATATATATACTACTTTTCATGCAAATTTTGGTACCCATTAATATAGATAAGAAGAAAATGTTCCGGTTTAATGGTAATAGATAAATCGTGTCTTATATAAAATAACCCCAAATTTTATAAAAAAAAATAAAATCATTCAAAAATATATATTTTATATATATATAATAATAAAAAAAAACAAAAAAACAAAAAACATAAAATCGAATATTATTATTTATTATAGGTATGAGTGATTATGATTATTCTACACTTCCTCTGACCAATAATTTTCATCAACAATATTCCAATAAAAACACTTTAGATATAATACTATAAATTATCATAATCTAAATCAATATTCACCACCACTACCACCACAAAATACTCAAACGTTTCCAAATTATCAAAATATTGTTGCCGCTGCCGATGTCACCAATACTACCGCAAACGTCGACGCCACATTTGCCATTGCCAGCGGTAACAATATGAAACCTTCAGTCTCGACTCCATTATTAAATGATTCTTCTCACAAAAGCAATAATGATATTATTTGGTTCTTGGCACGTCTTGAAAAACGTATTGGCCAAATGGAAAAACATAGAAATTTGCAAGCAACAATTTATCACAAAATAATATTTTCGATAATGGCCATTATAATTATAATAGTGATAATAGTAGTCAAGTATTTTACCAAATTTGGAAATCGAATCTAGAAAAATTGGAACCCCCTTGTTGATCAATTCATATATGTT